TTGGATCGCGCCGTCGTCTCTCTCTTAGTCTCCCTCTTCTCCGCCCCAATCTTGGCTCACCTCGGCTCCACCTCGGCTCCGCCTCGGCTCCGCCTCGGCTCCACCTCGGCTCACCTCGGCCCACCTCGGCCCACCTCGGCTCCACCTCGGCTCCACCTCGGCCCGCCTCGGCTCCGCCTCGGCTCACCTCGGCCCCACCATGACCGCAGGCGCTGGTGCGGCAGAGCGCGTACCCAGAGGACGTCCTCCGCCCGCTCGCAGAACCGCAGTTCCCCACCCAACCCGGTACCCAAACCCAACGAGATCACCATAGGTCTTCTGCCCGCTCGCGGAGCAGCAAACCTGCCGGCTCTCGGACATCTTCTCCGCGCCGCGGCCGCGCGAGCGCGAGCCAGGCGAACCCTAGAATCACCCTGACCCTTGCCCTTGCCCTTGCCCTTGCCCTTGCCCTACCCCTGACCCTGACCCTAACCCTGACCCTGACCCTACCCCTACACCTACCCCTACCCCCCTGACCCTGACCCTGACCCTGACCCTACCCCTACCCCCCTGACCAGGGTCGGGCGAGTGGACGCCGGACCACTTGGCGGACCTCGAGCCGGCCGCAGAGGCGGCGGGCGGAATACTGCCGCCGCCGCAGCCAGACCCGCCGCCGTCCAAGCTAAGCCTGCTCGGCCTTGAGGGCGAGTACGCGGGCCAGAGGATCGCGCTGCCGCTGCAGGCTCGAGATCACACGAGATCACACGAGATCACACGAGATCGCGCTCCCGCGTCAGCCCCTCCTGCCCCTCCTGCCCGTCCTGCCCTGTCCGTCACCTCTCGCCCGCACCCAGCCCTCTCGCGACCTCACTCTCCCCGCACGGCTGTCGACGCAGGTCGGGGCCGAGGGCCGGGCCTCCGCCGTGGTGGGTGCAATCTCGTGCAATCTCATGTGTAACCTCGTGTCATCTCAGGTCGGGGCCGAGGGCCGGGCTGCCGTGGAGGGCCGCGTGGCCGTGGTTGGCCGCTCCTCGTCCTGCGACGTCACCTTGCCGAAAGACGACCAGGTCCCCTACCCCCCAGTACCCGAACCCCAGCCTGCAACCCTCCCCTACCCACCCAGTAACCGATCCCAGCCCAAAATCCTCCCCTACCCACCCATTACCCGAACCCAGTCCCCAACCCCCCAACCCCCCCCAAGTACCTGAACCCAGGCCCCAACCCTCCCCTACCCAGCACCCGAACCCAGCTCCGAACCCTCCCCTACCCGCCGCCAGATTTCGCGCCGCCACGCGGAGATTGCCACGAGGGGCGGCAAGGCGTGGGTGCGTGACCTGGGCTCGACCTCCTAGAAGCGGAGCACGTCTTCATGTATCCCAACTAGCGCTCTCGAGGGGGCGCGTGCTCCGCTGTATTCGACTGTATTCGCAGCCCCTCGTATTCACGCGGTGCTCTGCACGCGCACTGCACAATACCGCATCCCCGCCCTCATGTTGGCGT